CCGCCGCCGGGCGGGCCCGCCCTGGGCCGCCCCGATAAAGGGCCCGTGGGCAGGCCCGGGGTGGGGGGTTTGTTCCTCTCTGGGCGGCTGCAGCGAGCACCCCTCAGTCAGTACCTGCTTAGCTACCTGTAGCTTTCGATTTAGCGCGTGTTTCGGTGCGTTTTGCTGGTGAGAGACCCCCTGCTCTAGGTTAGGAGCGAGCTGCGGGTCGGAGCACGGGTGTCGCTGATGCTTCTCTGGTTATTAATGCATCCTCCTAACTAGACTACCCAACGCTGCCTTTGAGTTACTCTGAGCTTTAACTCTTTTACATGAATGTGGCAATAGGTGAGTGTTGTTTTGCCAAAACCACATCTTGCTTGTCCAGAACTAGTTTGCTTCTATGTTTATTTTTGTCTTTGCTCTTCTAAAAAGAGGCTTCCTGCTTTTTAATGAACCACATAACAGTGGCTAGCAGACACGGTAATTCTCTTGCATCCCTTTAACAGAAGAATCCAAGTGGAAAGTAATAATTAGTGTGTTTTCTTCCAGTGTTTCTAATTCTGGCCTGCTGCCATTCTTCCAGAGGCTGTAGTTCTTCTTTATCTGCCGTGTTAATGTACAACAGTGTTACACGAAACATGGTGATCCTTAGAAAAAAATGCTGATGCTAGTTATTGATTAAATGTGTACCTTGTCTTCTGGACTGAAGTGGCCAATTTAAGACGGTTGTGTAACATGGTGGTGTAAAGCATATGGTTGTGTCATATTTGTGTTATAGGCCAACATGAATCAAAAAGCCCAAAGTGTTTAGTTGTATTTCCTGGTATAAAAAGATACCTTTATTTAAGGGGTTAAATTCAGGTATAAAACACCTACTTGCATGTAGCTGACTACAAAATTACCATGCAAAATCAAAATAGAAGAGAATACTGTTGTCCTTCGTATTCTTCCTTTTCTGACTCCTTGCCTAAAAAAATTACCTGTACGCCAACAGTTTTAGTTGATTTACTAGTGACTGCCTTCATGACTCACATCTGGACAATACATCTGAGTGCAAATCCAGAGCCATTAGTTTGTTTCACCACTGTTTTGCACAAGGAGGTGCTGGTCTGTTACAATCCTAGTAAGAAAGACACTTGGACTCTGTGAAGTATCATCTTGAATGCTCTGTGTTGCCAACCCGATAGAGGAAGAGGATGGCATTGATAATCTTGTGTCCCTTCAGGTGTTTGGAACCCTGAGCTGTGCAGCACTGAACAGACCTCCCCCGCTTCGTGTGCAGAATGCTCTGCAGACCTTTTGTCACTTGAGCTAAGAGGGATTTTCTTACAGGAAAACAAGTCTGTTCATTAATTCTACTGTCAAACAGAAAGGATGCTCGCCTGAGAACTTCCTACCTTTTTAGATAAAGGCAAGGGCACGCAGGTGGCCTAATCACAGACACCAAGTGGGAGTTGCCTGCAGACTCCCCCGTTACAACTACCTGCTGAGCTTATCCTGCAGCCCGGGGTTGTGCCTCCCACAGCAGAGGCCTGAAGGCCAGGACAAGCCAAGCCTGGACCTGCTCAGGTTAACTGTTACGTGGATCACCAGCTCCGTGGTGTACAACAGCCTTCAGGTCAGGATCATAAACTACTTTATTATGTCTCTCTGTAAAACAAGTGTGCTCTTTGGTGTCTGCTGTGAATCTACAAAAATGTGACTTGAGAAGCTATGCAACAAGTTGAAAATATAATCTTCCTATGTGTACACATCCTTCAGCTGGGACTTGATTATCTGAGGAAAATGTTAACAGGGTGGAGAAGGCAGAACTATTTTGGGGAAGTTTCTTGTGTGAATGCTCTGCTTTGAAAACATCCATTCCTCCTACATAGTCAGCCATTCCACCAACATTGCATACTTCCACTTTTTTTTTTTAAAAAAAAACAAAACAACGAACCAACAAACAATATTTTTAGTGAGTTTGGACACAGCTGAACTTGGAAAGTGACTTCCTCAGCTTCTGCTGAAATCAGCTAGCCAGCTTTGGAGCTCATCCTCAGCAGAACTTCTTCTGAAGTTTGATGAGAAACCTAGATTGTAAGGGTGTTGGGACATGACGTGAAACCTTCCTTTTTGATGAAAACCTTTGCTACTGTGAGCAGATTGCTGTTTGCAGCAGCTATAAAGCCAGCAATGAATAATGGAAAATCTTGCTGGACCTTTGTTCTGTTGAATTTCAAAGGGAAGGTGCTCGAGTATCACAGTGCTAAGCATGAGACAGAGAAGCCCAAGCTCAGCGTGACAACTGACCTTGTATGATCTATTTTCATTCTCCTTTTAGGAACAGAAGAACGCTACTCCTCTGTGAATTTGTGCTAGATCAGGTGTGACACTTGAAATGCATTTTATGCAAGTGTTGAGCTCTTAGTCTTGAATTTCCATCAGAGTCCATATGCAGATTTTGGTAGGATGGGAACAAGGAACCTTTTGATTCTTTAAAAAATAGCTGAATGAGCAGGGAGACAGAAAAAAAGCAGGAAGACAAAGTTATTTTGGGATACAAAACACATAAATATGTAAAGACCTGCTGTATTTTAGCTCACTTTACACACAGCTGTTTCTAGTTCTATGTCACAATGATTTTTTTTTTCAATTATACATTCACTAGTTTTATGTAATCTGTGTACTGAGGTTTCCTAGTGTCCACCTTTGAAAGTGCCTCTGTTTTGTCCTGTCTCCTAGCCCCAACTTCATATCAAAGAGGTTTTTTTCAAAAAAGCAGTCTTTTCATTTGGCAGCATTTGCCTTTTGCAGGTATATAACAATTTATAACCAATTAATACTTGTTGCAAAGGAAACCAGAATGTTTCTGGTTTTCTTCACCATGCCAGACACCCTTGATAATGAACTCTGAAATTGGCATTCAAGGGTGACAAAGCACGTATCTTGCATAAAAATGTGGGACTGATCATCCAGTAGTGATTTTTGTTTTGTTTTCTGGGCTCTGCCTTCATAAATGCCTTTATTCATTTATTCACAAATGCATTCATTCACTCCTAATCAAAACCCTGCCTGTATTAGATCTTCAAACCTTAACCTGCACTGGCCGTTTCTGGCAAAATGTGTTTATCCCCAACTGCAGCAGTAATGAGAGCTTGGTTCCTGAGCCAGTTGATAGCGAGTTGGTAAAAGAGAAGGACTTAGTGCAGAAGTCTGTTGGGATTACTGTACGCTAAGGGCAGACCTTAGCGCGTTGTAAAGGGAGAGGACAAAAAGAGCTCATTTCTAATCTCTCCAGCATAACTATTCATATCCTTTATACCAGTAAAAACTTCAAAGAGCCTGCTTTATCTTTGTTCTAGCATCACAAGGACCTCTGTAGCTTTATTAATTTATTTTTATGTAGAAAAAGTAAATTGTTGCAACTTACTGAATTGCTGCAAAACTCAGTTTGTTCTTCTTCTTTAGGCAAAAATGTCGGCAGCATGCGACTTCGTTGCACTCCACACTGGGCAGAAGATGCCTCTCATAGGACTGGGAACTTGGAAAAGCGAACGTGGCCAAGTAAGCAGAAAACAATACAATATGTGGCCAAGTAGGCAGAAAACAATACAATATCATTCTCCCAACTAGGTTTATTTTGTGCACCTTTTTTGAAGATCCTACACTGGAGGCCTGAATACTGCACTTGAATGGTTTTAGTCTTAGGTCCACTAAAATCAGTGGAATGTGGGTATATATTTGCATGATTAAGGCTTTAAGGCACAAAAGCAGCAGCAGAAGATCCCTTAAGGCTCCTTCACTCAGGCCTCAGACAGTGATGCTCTGGGAGAGGAATCTGGAAAGAGACCAGTGGGTGGGGTGGGGTGGGATGGGGAAAATGCTGTAGCTGTAGTATAGTGCCTGGCTTTTCCACTGGTAAATCCTCAGGTTGCCAGTTTGAGCAGACATCCCTGGTTTGGGCTGATCACTCAGCTGAAAGCGTTATTTTGGGTGGCAAGAACTTTGGTTATTCTTGTCCTAAGTCCTGTCCCAGCAGCCAGCCTGTGTTCAGCAAAAACCCAAAGAACATGCTTGGGCCATCCTACTTTTAGCCTAAGAAGACTCACGTGTCATTAGATATTCACACGCTGCTTGTAAACGCAATGAATTGGCAAACACCACACTTGGAAACTGTTCTGTGTGTTATTACAAACTGTCTGTGGGACTGTTTGCGTGCTGTGGGCTGTGCCTCCCACTGTAATGCTTCTACCCCTTGTCTGTCTTTTCCCTTTTGTTTCATTTAGTTAAAAGAGAAATTCTTGGGGGGAGAGGTTGTGAAAGGCCATGTCTGTTGCTTGGTGGAATACTTGGCTGGTATTGTTGTGTCTAATGCCTTTTAGTTGATGTGTACCGTTGTATGTCTGTGTGCTAAACGTTATATATCTTGCTGCTGCTCTTGGGATAGCTTTGTGGTGGTTTTTGGAGTACGTCAGATGACATGGTGCTTGCGACTGAGAAGGAAAATTAAAACCCTTCTCAAGACGTGGTATTCTCTCGTGCTAGCTAGAGGAAAAAGTGGGAAACAAGCTATCAAAATTAAATCTATTCAGAGCCATTTTATTGTTGGTATTCCTGTCCAAACAACTGTCAGGACAGTGGATCTGATGGGAATAAAAGCTGTGCTAATGTGGAAGCTGAGTTGGTGTGAGAGCTCAGACACCTCTTAAATGGGGACAAGGATGAATGTTCAGCTCCGATACTTAAAACATCCACTGACAGCTGAATTAAGTTTATTAACTTGCAGAAGGTTAATGGATGAATTTTTGTGCACCCAAAGCAGTTAAATATGCGTTGTCTAAAGGAAATGCTTGCACTTAAATGGACAAACTGTGAATGTATTGTTGATTTTGTGCACTAACTGTTCTGGGGAAAGTACGATCTTTTGAAGGAATCTGCTACGATCTTATCAAGGAATCTGCTTGTACATAACTTAATCCTAATTCCGATGGGTTTTGCTGCAGTGAACACCACTTCTCTCAGCTGAACCCCACATGGGATCCAGCTGTCTTCTCTGAGGTCCCATGAAAGTCGTTGGGAGTCACTTATTTAGGATATCTGCTATCTTCAGAGACTTCCCAGAATGTATTGAAAGCAAAATCTAGAAAGTGCAGTGAAAATGGCCGAAGCTACAGAAGTTACTGCCATTCCTATGGAATAAATAAATTGCTTTGTATCGCTCTTGAAAATCTAGAAGCATACTAGCAATTTGGCAGAGCGTCCAAACGATTTACCCTTGAAAGGACATGAGGTAGTTCAGGGAGAATAGTTGTAGTTATGAATTAAAGACAAAGGGCCAAAACCCTAGAAAAGCAGAATTATTATCACTGATTATATATAATGTAGCTGTTTCCCAAGTAGAGGCTATTTATCCAAAGCTTTTTTGTGCAACGGCTATGTTAGAAGGAAGAGTGGAAGTTGATGTTTTTAAAATTACGTGAGGTAAATATTTTGCAGATTGTAATTATTTTCCTTCCCAAGCTGCTTTTCAGCCTTGACTTTACTCTGTTGAGTAATTTCTTTATTATTGCTGATCCTAAACAAGCCTTGACCTTGTAGCCAGATCTTAGCAGTCCAGTGTTGCAGCCTTAGTTTTCTAGATGGTAAGAATAGGGAGGGAGTTATTAAATCTAAATCCATGTTGGAAGACTGTAGGATTTTATAGGATTTAGATAATTTTATGGGATTTGGATCCTGTAAAATTATAGAATGTTTTCTGTCTAGGAAGATCAAATGCTAGAAGAGAACCCTGTTTTACATGTCACCGTAGGAACGTGATGGAGGGGAACACAGCACAGAAGCTTATGAACTGGCAGCATGAAGGAGTTCAAAGAGAAGTCTTTTCAGATGGAAGCATCAAGAATATCAGTAGCGTGATGTTTTTGATATTGGAGCTTGATTATCTGTAGTCCTTTAATGCTTTGTTCTCTCAAGTGGGCCATGCTTTCAACCTGGAGGATTGATCCCCGCCTGATGAACAGTCCAACCGGCTGCAGGAGAAACTGATTCTGTGGGCATGAGACGCAGGGCTCGGGGAACTCGCAAATTTCTGTGCAAAACTTCAGGGAAGCTGAAGTGGAAATCTGTGCCTCAGAAACCAGTCAGACTGGGTCTTGTGACAGAATTGCAGCTATGGAGGAGACTATTTAGTTCTTAGAAAAGTTTGTTAGGCAATGTGGAGAATCCTGCTTACATACACAAAAACTCACTATCACTGGTATATATTAAGGGAGGGATCCAGAGGAGGCAAAACTCTTTTATTTTAGGCAACATCAGCTCTTAAGTTAGCATTACTTACGTGGTGGTCTGAGTTCCTTTCAGCAGATTTTAGTACAGTGTGTACAAACTGCGATACAAAAACACTTGCATTCTGGTCATACTGCATCTGAATGTCCTGCTGCGGACTCATGATCTGGGTTTTTCCTATTTCCCCTCAGCAAATGTACTTGGACTGCTGAAACGTGACAACCTTGCAGGAAGCAATGGAGGCTGTCAGAGCCTTTTCTTTCCAAGTATTACTGACTGAAACTGTTAAGGGTGAAAGCCTCTTCATAATGGCTTGAGGCTGTGCAGAAGAGGCTCCCTAGTCACTTAACTCTGTGTTGTTTGGAAGTATAAAGATGGTTTGTTAGTTCTTCACCTCGTGATGGGCAAATTGAAGAACTAGAAATCTAGTAATGGATATTACAATGAGTTGGGACTTAGAGATTCTGTTTCTGAACCTGCCACTGATTGTTAGCGATACCACTTTCCTCCATATTCCAAACCAAAAGCAGGTGGGTGGGAAGGCCAAATCCTTTGCTAGGATGTATAAATGGGAATGTGGTTCCTAGGCTTTGCTGTAAAATGAAGGAGAGTGAGGCTTCAGCTATGATACTGTGTCTGTTTTGGGGCAATCCACTTTGAGAAAAGCACGAAGCAGCTGATGAGATAGCAGCAACAGCGATGCAAGGTTTGGAAAAGCTGAGTTGTGATGAAAGATGGAAAGCACGAGGAAGTATGCCGGTACTTTCCAAATGAGCAAAAAGCTGTCACAGAGGAGAGGGAGGTGTCTGAGGACTAGGATGTGGCACCAGGGCCATCTTGGTTAGCTAAAAGGCTCTGAACATACAGGTGTATTGGAATAGACTGGCTGTCGCTTACAAGGAGGGTTTTGGCAAATGTGTGTAGGAGTGGTTTAGACTTAGTTGGCCCTGCTGTCGGGCATGAGGATAGACTAGATGGTGTCTCAAGATCCTTTCAGACCTGCTTGCTGTAGTTACATGATGCTGAGTTGGTGAGTCGCCCTTAAGCTGTGTGACTCAACTTGCTGAATGCAAAACGAGTTCAGTAGTTGCCCCTTGATGGGTTAAACCGAGGAATATATGGAAAGTCTGAAGGATCCTTTGGCTGTTTGTACTTCACAATACCAAATATCCAGAGGTGTGTAAATCTTCAGCTGCTTCTGTTGTCTTTTTTTTTTTTTCTGCTCCCCAGGAAATGCATGTACCTGTCTAAACATAATCATAAAAATACAAAACTTTCTGTTAAAACAAAGTACTCTTCTTAAATTTACATCTACTAGTTGGTTTTTTACCCCCACCAGAAGTCCTGTTTTTTGCACGTTTTTTCTTGATATTTGGCCTTTTGAATGGAACCAGAAACTTGAATTCATATTAGAATGTCTCTGTAGGCTGAGCGTAGTTTACACAAATACAGATTTTTGCCTAAATCCAACCCTTATTTAAATGATCAGTCCCAGATTTTCAGTGATAGAAGTTTATCAAAACATGCTGATATGGAAATACAGCCTCCTGTTTATTGCTTTGCAGAGATGTGTTTGGAGTGCCTTATCCTTAGTTTTCTGTGATGTGTACTTTAATTTTGTGGCAAATTTTATGCCTGTCTGAATGAAAAAAAATACTGTCCTGATGAGGAAATAGGCGACACAGACAAAGAACACCACTGGTTTTGCTTTCTGCTTAAGCTCCACAACTCTCACCTTTTCGGAGCGTCAGTATTAAGTCTTAGAAGATTTTAGTTTGTCTCAAGTGATTTCAGAATTACCATGACCTTGACTTTGTAGCGACCTTCTGAGGAGTGTCTTTGTCAAAGGAAACAAGGACTGGAAATACCAGAAATATGTTCGAGAAAGGAAGAAGTTACTTCATTGCTGTAGTAGAAGTGCTTTGTCATTCTGGCTAAGGGAAACTGGTCTGCTTTCCAGTTTTCCCCTCAAAATGCCAAAGAATACAGTCAGAACATCCTGTGTCTGCCTTTCCTGCAGACCTTGACAGAAAAAACAAGTTAAATTCACCACTAGAGTAGAGATCTTTTCCACATTTGATTTCCCCTTCTCTTTCTGTAGCATCTGAAAACAGGATGTACATCTTTTTAATTGGTGTTAATATTTTTGTCAGCCTTAAAATTGACAATGCTGGTAATTTAATTAAGTTGAAAGAAATCAATCTCTCTCTAGCCTTTGTGAACACACTTTTTAACCTCTTGACCAGAGAGACACCATCTTTATAAATACGTTAGGGCCTCGTTGCATCAAGCCTTAGACACAGGGTACTTTACAATCTCCCGCCGTCTCTAGACAAGTCAATGAAGAGCAATGTACAGAAATCCCTGTACAGTTAAGATGTTACTGTAGCACTTCAGAGGAATAGGCTTAAGAGACAACGTGTGCTTGCTGTCCACTGGAAGTTAAATGAAGTAGATTCTACACTGAAATCTGTAGTAGGTCTGTACTTTGGGGGTGCTCCTCAATAAGTCCCTAACGTTTTTAATTTTTTTTTTTCCCCAGTGATGTATCCCTTTCCACTGATTGCGTTGCGTAATCTGTTTCTGATTACAGGTGAAAGACGCAGTGAAATGTGCTCTGAGCGTGGGTTATCGCCACATCGATTGCGCAGCAGCTTACAGCAATGAAGCAGAGATCGGTGAGGCTTTCCAGGAATGACTTGGGCCCACAAAAGTAAAA